AAGCCCCGCCTTGCACAGAGGACATTAAGAATTTGTTACCGCACAACTCTCTCTTGGTTACACTAAACAGTCATATTCTTTGACTGAAAAAAAATGTACATATTGATTATCTATAGACTGCACAAACTCAAAAGTTCCAAGCGTAAGGTTTTGGTTGTCTTACACAGCGATTTTGCCAACCCTTCAAGATGAAGTTTTTCAGCAATACCTTTAATAAAGTAAAGCTACCATGGGTTGCCTTTCAAGTCTTCAATAGGCCCCTCTCTCTTTAACATGCCCCCTCCAAATAAGTTCAAATTATTTGGATGTTTGGATGAAGTTGATGTACAAGTTTGATAAGACTCAAAACTAAAAGATTTTCTTGTCATGTTTTGCCTCTAATGAGCCTCTGTCCCTGTCAAAATTATCCTAGGAAAAATCCAGCCCCTCGGGATAGATTACAGCAATTAAGATCACATAAAAAAGCAAATTCCGGATCCACTCAAGATTTTACAAATATATGTTTATATCTCATCAGTTTTACAAACGAGGAACTGATCGGAACTTCTTCCTTGTCATTGTGGATTTCAACAGTACAGATGTGGATATTTTTAAGATGAGGGAAAGAAGTGAAATAAAAGACAGGTGCTTTGTTTGTAGCCAGTGTTATAGCTCACAAACTTGAAGCGTGTTCCGTTAGACTGTCTATTTAGCTAAAATGATCCAATTGTTATTGCGATGGATAGATTTTCATGTACCCCCTGCTATTCAGAGTGTAGGATGTTTATCACGTGAACCGATCAGGGCCGGGGCTTTAGTGGCCTGTAACGCGGATTCATCGTGGCGTCATTGTTTACATTTTTGCTCATTAGCATACAAGTTAACCCATAGAGGATTTAGTCGTATATACTAATAGGCTATTTGCATCATGACATCATTTACTACTACGACCAGAATCCTTCAGAGTTTTCCTGTCTTGTGCAAATTACGGCTTTTGTCATTTAAATCTCGCTGGGAAGGGCCTATTAGGTTCAAAATCAAAATAAAAGGGGAGCTGGTTTATTTCTGCAGTTTGTGCAAGTTTCAGCTCTTTACCATCAGTAACAAAGAAAATAGCAGCAATTAAAAACTGAAAAATTGCTGGGTGGCAAAACGTTAATGACCTCATAAATTCTTTGTAAATTTTTGGGTTTTTCAAAGAGAATTTCTCCGAAACTTTTTGGTATATCGGAATCAAATTTTCAGAGATAACTGAAATTGTTATGGTCTTTCAATATTCAGAAATTTCCTGTTATTATCTTCTTCAGATAATGATAAGCCTATGCTAATGAGGCAAAATTCGGCTATAGCTCCCACAAGTGTCCTGTTGCTCTGTGGTAGAGCATCTGGACTAGTTACCAGGACGTCATAGGTTCGACTCCTCTTTGGAATACTCGGTGAATTTTTTCTTCTGAGCCACCTGTATTATGATCCCGGCTATTACTTCGTGTTCCGGGCAGAGATGACGTAAAAAAAAAAGAATTCTTTGTTTCCTGTTCAGGGTAAAATCTGTTTGGAATTGTTTCATGGTTTATGTTATTTTGTAACGTAAAATGTATCCGGTACACTAAGTAAATGCCATTATCATTTGTTTCTCATGAAACATAAACTTTTCCTAGAGCTGGGAAACAGGGCACCAACAAACTCACCTCAACATTTATGTTTTATATTTCTTACTAATAAAAGTGTTGCGGATAACCACAACAGAGTAGGTTTTGTAGCTTGCAATACTGAATCAGATTACGCCAAAGATAAAAAGGACAATTCCAAAAAAGAACACGGTTTTAAACTCAAGCTAGCAACCCAGTCTTCGAAAATCTGGTTTTATGAACTTATTTTAACTTTTCTTTTTTATATATATTTGACTCATTTATAGGATTATTATATTAAAATACTTCACTGAATTTCACAAGACAAAGGCTCTTAACGACGGAGTACGCTATGTCAAGGTGGGACTAACGTTTCTTTTACCTGTTTTAAAGGGTGACGAAAATTAAGTAGCGGTTAAGGAATAAAAGCATTTTGATGTAGGTTGTCTGGTCCTAATTTGTTCAGTCTCCTCAGAACAGCGCGGATAGATAATAAGATTGCCCGAACCCTCTCCTTCTGAACACTAGAATGAAAGAAAAAGAGTTCATCAGCACAAATGTTCTATAAATTTATGCGTTGTCAAAGAGCCACGAAAACTGACGTTTTAATTTGCAATCCTGACAACTAGGACCCCAACAGCATCATATTTACCGCGGATCTTCACATCAAGTTTCCAGCGAACATATTTGATGAAATACGTAAGGCAAGTATGATAATTATTATTATGTGGAGGTCTTCAGCGACTTCAGCAGAAAGGGTGGAAAGCGCGCAGGTTTTAAATCTTTAACGCAAACTGTCGCGTAACACTTTAGAATCACACTGCGCTTCTAGAAAAACAAAGTTTCTTTATAGATCCGATGTGCTGATACTTCAGCATGATTTTGTCGTGGTTTTGTCGTCTTCTTTTCTTTTATAATTTAGTTGAGACCCTTCTGTTTATACTTTACTTTGCAAGAAGTAAACACTGTCTCTAGGGCGCTTATAATCATCAGTCAGTTTTCAGATCAGAGTCCAGTCCAAAGAGGCTTTCACTATTCTGTCCGAGCCCCGGTTGTTCAAAAGTTGGATAGCGTTATTCACCGGATTAAATCACTATCCAGCGGATAAGTATTACGGGAAACAATTGCGTTATCCGCTGGATAGTAATTTATTCGGTGGATAGTGCGCTCCAACGTTTGAAAAAGCAGGGCCAGCAGGATTAGTGTATTGCATAAGGCTATAGGCAGGGCAGGAAAGAAAGGAAAGGGTTTCAAGCGAAAACCTTTGGAACAGCCCATTTCATTTTCAAAATGACCGGTCCGGCTGCCCAGTTTTGGTTGAGACTCTTGCTTTTTCTAAGACACCTGATATAGCATGACTCGTAGCCAAGTTTAGGGCTCTTAACAGTCTTTTAAAGTTAGTTTTTTCCATATTGTATGAAGTACTGATTAACTCATACAAGAACGAAACAACTGTGTTTGCTATGCAGCAATCCACGTTTTATTTTGTTCAAGTTCTATCAGTGTCGTGTTCTAACAAAGTTAATTCTCTGTAGTTATTTGTTAAACTCATACACACGTGTAGCATACGCGTTTGCAGTAATTTGCTTCAGCTATTTCAGAGAAACGTCTCAATCAGTTGCTTTGAAGACTCCTATGGCTTGATCTGAGTTTTTGACAGAAAACGTGAAACTTAAAGACCTTAACACTTGCTGAATTATCTTTTCTTTACAGCACGCTATTCAAGGACGTAGCTTTTACTCGCCCGCTGTTCTTAAGCTGAAATGTGGTTATTCAATAACGCATCAACAAGGTATCAATTTCCCTGATATTGTCTTTACTGTGTGTGACCATACGACGCACCTTGATCATCTTATCGGCGGTGTCCGATAGTGCAAAGAGACTGGCTATGAAACCTGCAAACATAAAAGACGAAAATTGGAAGTTACGTCACTTACCTGACCATGCACAATCAAATAAACTTAATTGAGTTCTGAGACTCGATGGAGAGAATTTTATACCGTTTTTAAAACAATTCACTTCAACGCCCTGGTTTTTAATTTGGCATTTTCTTTTAGTGACAAATGCGTATTTTTTTACGTATTCGCCATCTTATACTGAGTCAGTGACCGAGACTAGAATTTTTCCGCGAAATGTCACGCGATACAACAATACTTTCAATCAATTTTCCGCTCTTTTCACCACTGACAGCTTAAACATTTTCCCGCCTTTTTAAGTCCATTGAAACCTGATTGGTCCTGATTGATTTGTCTCTCCTACTCTTGCATTGATAAATACTCTTTTTTTAATACTCTTGCTGATTGCATGTTCTTATAAATGACTTATTCTTCATTGCAGCTTTTTGGGAAATGATGGGATATGGTTTGTTTGGTGGGTACAAATCAGACTGGGACAGGTTTGAGGGAATGGACGAGGCTAAGTTCACTACAAGATGGGGTGGGGAGGACTGGGATCTAATGGATAGGTAAGGGTAAATTTCTTTAAGGTTAACTTTCCTCCAGGCCACAGTTGTTCTAAAGTTCGATAAGGCTATCCACCGGATAAATCACAACCCAGGGTCCAGTTTTTCGAAAGGTGGATAACGCTATCCACCGGATAAATCTCTATCCAGTGGATAGAGCAATTGGTTTCCCTAATATTTATCCGATGGATAGTAATTTTCCTGGTGGATAACGTTATCCAGCGTTTGAATAACCGGAGCCTGTATGATAGATGTTTTGCTACATGGATCGGCAATCATTACATGTATTTGATGCTTGCGTCTTGACCCACGCTTTCCCGCGCTCAAAACTGGCATCATATTTTCCGGTACATCACCAGTTACACGTTTTACAGTCCCAAATGTGTTGTGTGGAGCTAGAACTTTAAGTAGTGCTTTGTAAGGCCTCTAAAGGGTTCTCAACACGGCTCCAACGCCCATGCTTGGCTGATTTATGTGCCCTCGGAGGCTCAATTTGGACATACGCATGAGACACTATACTTAAATTTGCGTTATACCCCCCTGAATTGTGTCATTTGCTTTGATGACGCCATTGTTAAGCAGTACGTTTATACGAAGGCTAGATTAGTTAGCATAGAAACGTCACGCTTGGTCAAGGGACTTTGTTGAAGTATAGTGCTCTTCCCCGCCTGAAATCAATGGATTGATTGTGTAGTTTTAGTTAAATCTATTCAATTTGTGATTTTGTTTTTAACAGAGCAATTGGCGCTAATTTAGAAATAGAGAGGTTGCGACTTCCGAAGTTTTATCACTACTTTCACGAAAGAAGCAGCGACTGGTACGAAAACGCAAGAATATGACTCTTTGGTGGCTGAGGATTTTGTTGGAGAAGAGCTATGAAGCATTCAAGAACTATTAAAGCCTCTTTGGCGCACACTAAAGTGAACGTGAGAAGTAAAAAGTTCTTAAGACTTCCTTCAGTTGTCAAAGCCTGGTTTGACTATCCGCCGCCGCTGGTACGGCTTCAGTTATAATTTACAGAATTTGAGCGTCAGTAGTACAAAATCTTCGCAAATCAAACAGAATAAGTAATAAAAAAGTTTGGCATAAGGTGAAGCAAGCTTATTGTCTGAAGTATAGTCTCTCACGATTTTTAATTTATTATTGTAGTTATTATTTTTTTATTATTATTATTTTTTATTTTTTTTTTGGCAAATTCTAAAGTGTTTCGTCTCTAATCGACTCCACTCTCTGTTGGTCAGTCGGCGGCCAAGGAAAAAAGGAAAAAAAGGGACAAATAATCATGCGCGTGTTCTTAAATTGCGAGACTGGGCCTCTTTAAGAATTCCGTTTAAGAAATGTAAGCTAATATTTAAAAACCAGCTTGTAACAATAGCATTCCCATTTCATTTTAGCCATGTGGGAGAAGCACGAGCTCGCGCTAGTGAGAGCTTTTCGTCCATGACCCCTGTTCCGCAGGAGTAATAAATAGCAAAAAAATTTACTGCCTTTTGTTCAGTTTCATTCACTGTATTTGTTTAAGTTTCTTATATTGGGGATTAGTGGATTTGTTATGCCCAGAACTTGAACAACCTCGTTCCCAGGGCTTTTCAAATAAGAGGTTTGTTTCAGACAAAACTTGTGGCGTACATCATCTTGAGGAAGTGAAAAGCGAAAAATTTGCTTTATCAATCGAGTTGATAGATTGAAATATATCAAATGAATCCTACTTTGAACTGCAAATAAAGATATGAAAGTCAACGTGGTAGTCCGGGAGCTAAGGACGTTTTGCTTAACCCGAGAGGACGGAAAAGGTTTGACGATGGATTTTGATAGATTAAAGTACCCTCTTTTTGGCTAGATAGTTCGTGGTTTCAAATGTTTTTAACAGTCGACAACAGTGAAAATGAATTTAACAAAAAAGAGACTGAAAGTTGAAACCAAGCTCACGGTGGGCAAACAGGACGCCAAATGTGGGTACTTAGGAACTACTTGTGCATTTTTTTATTTCTGTGAGCTCAAAGTTTGCAGGATGGTAGGACTTTGTATTCCAAACAATCGTATGTTGTTTGTTTTTCGATTTTTATGGCTTTTGGCGAGAAAATGACGTCACAAGATTGACAGCAAAATTAAATTTCAACTGATGGCGTAACAAATAGGTAATTTTGAAGGACGGTGAAGAGATAGAAACAAATGAGAATTTTTTTTTTGAAAAACCCAATTGCTTTAGGAGATATAGCATTTCGAAATATGCTTTTGTTTCTAAAAATAGTAACAAAATGGCGGCAATCTCACAAATCAAGGCTTAATAATCCTTTAACCAACCGAGCTTTTCAAAAACTGTTTTCACATTTGTTTCTATCTCGTCACCCTTTTTCAAAATTACCTATTTGTTAGGTTTGGATAAATTCTGCCGGCAGAATTTCGAGCAGAATAAGAGATTTTTGATGCGAGCATTCTGCCGGCAGAATAAGGCATTTTCGAGCAGAACTTGAGTCCTTGAGCAGTACAAGGGAAACTCGGCGGCACTAATGACGGATAACAGTTATAAGAAAAATTTAAAACTTAATTATAAACAAATGGAAAACAGCTCGTGATTAATTTGATTATTTAATCGCTACAACGCACTCATATTAAAAGTAAGACGAATTTAATACAATTTTGCTACGCATAATGGATATGTAATTAGTTTTTATGGGTTATGCCCAGGCTCCCCTCTACATTTGCGAAAATACAGACGGCCCAAAGGGCCGAAAATATTTTTTCGGATACCGAGCAGAATTCGAGCAGAATATTAAAGGGTGTCCGAGCAATTTTGAGCAGAATAAGCGCTTTTTACGTGCACTGCCGGCAGGCAGAATAAGCCATTCTACGATGAGTTTTAGCGAGAATATCGTAGTGGCGGGAACAAGTTATCAAATGTAAGAAGTTTTATCAATAATTTGAGATTGACTACGTCACAGCCTTTCAGTAGGTAAACAGCGCCTACTTTTACCGCTTGTATGCGTTCATTAAATGTTAATTAGATTCCCTTACACGCGGTCAATTGTGGTTCATTTGGCTTTGTGTACGGGTGTTCCAAGTGAGAATACGTTTTAGTATGTTACAATCAAACCTTTCCCCTTCGTGCAGCGGACAAAAGGGGTAAATAATGATAATCGATTCTATGACGATCGATTAAAAGCGATAGAAATGATAATCAATAAAATCAGAATCTCTTATCTTGTGAGTGTTTCTATCGATCCATCGATTATATCGATATCAGTTGATCTATAGTTATATCAATCGATCTATCAATCGGTTTACATCGATTGACGAGCAGGGGAGAATTACTTGCGCATGTTTCTCTAATCCTATCGGTCTCGTTTTTCTGTCACGTACAGGCTACTTTATGATATACCAGTCATACCAAGTATACATGTCGTTTCAGGACCAAAACAATGTAAAACTCAGCGTTGGAAAAAGGTAATACTATGTTCCTTGAAAAAAAGATGGGGTGAAAAAAGAGTCTGAATGGGAAAAATTGTCTTTAGTTTTGGTCAGTTGTTAAACAAAGGGTACTTTTATGGTGAGTTAATTTTTATTTTTTTTAAGGCGTCGATCAATAGTTTATTCAATAAATTCTATTTAAAGCAAAAGTGAACTTATAATTCCGAGTTTCAATTCATAGCAGTGCTTGTTCATGCTATTTCAAAACATTTGTATGTGTGTGTGTGTGTGTGTTTTTTTTTTGGTAAGCAAACTACGTAAAAAAACTACATTAACTACAAACAAAACCTCCATAAAGCATAAATATATTAATATACTCTTTAAAATAGAATACTAAAACAAACATCCTGTTACTCTAAACACGCTTCCAACGTCGTTGAAGGCCCCTCCTTCAGCAACACCGTGAAAATTTCTGAAGATATATTTTTATTCTTGATTAGATCTATAGGAAGCCACAAGAAATCGAGAACTTCCATCATCAATCCTGGAAAAGCACGTCATTTATCTTTAGCAAGAAATTTAATGAATAAAACGGATGCCTGATTTAAATCGCCTCCAATTTTCACAAACATCAGAGAGTTTAATGCCTTCTTCTCCTCAGTAAAGAAAAGTGTACTCTGAAAACCAGAAATTTCCGATGAAGGTATGTTAGCCTGATTTGTGAGAAACTATGCATGTAGTGAAAGTATGAACTGAAGAATCAGATACTACGTATTTTTATTTCTTTTCTAGATTGTGGCAACTGCACCCCTTTTCATCACCTTGACTGTTTCATGCGTTGTTTCTTCTCCAGTTACAGAGGCTGAATCGAACGATTTTCCCAGTAAGTTGTTGACGTTACTTAGACATGTAAGGTTTAATAAGGGTGCAGAATTTTCAAATGGAGATTAGATTGAGAAGACACAAAGTAAAGACAGTAAAGTAACCGAGTCAATTTCAAATGTACCAGAATGGCTTTTTCAGGGACCCGGTGAACTTTTTGACTATGACCATGAATAAAATCGAAAAGGTAGTCACATGGAATTTACCAAAGTTAGCTCAAAGTTTTAATGTTCAGTTTTTCATGTTTCAGTGACCAGAAGGAAGAAAAAGAGGAGCAAAGTACAATTTCCAAAAAGAAACTTGCCCAATCCGATACCGTAAAATTCCGAAGATAAACCCCTCCGTGTATAAGCCCCTCCAAATATAAGCCCCCCATAATCGTAACGCAAAAAACCCTCCGTTAAATCGCCCCTCCGAACAGGAACCCATCAAATGATGATGGGCTCCTACCCTCCGAATATAAGCCCCCCGGGTGCTTGTACTTGGAATTTTCCCTCGAATACAAAGTAAAACAAAGCAAAAATGGTAAATTTCCTTTCCACTACAAGCCAGCCCAATCGATTTTGAAACGCAAATTCCCCTCCGTACACAAGCCCCTCTGAATATAAGTCCCTCCAAAAATAAGCGCCTCAAAAACGGCTTTTCAAAAATATAAGCCCCGGGGCTTATTTTCGGAATTTTACGGTATCCTTTCAACTATAAGGCTAGCCCAATCGATTTTGAAACGTAAATTTAGCCTCCGTAGATAAGCCCCTACGAATATAAGCCCCTCCAAAAATAAGCCCCTCAAAAAGGCCTTTGAAAAATATAAGCCCCTGGGCTTATTTTCGGAATTTTACGGTACTTTAAAAACATGTTTAGTTGGTGTTAATGGGGCATTAGTCTAGGCCCAAAGTCTAGGCCCAAAGCCTAGACTAATGCCAAAAGAATAACCTGGAATAATAACTCATCTCGTGAGGAAAATATTTTGAGTAAAACTCGTAAATATGATTTTCCTTTTCAGTCTTTCGAACTGGACGTGAAAAGCGGCAAACAGTCCAAATCACCAATTTTCGGAGCTGTCTGGTGATGGATGGGAGAGATCCTTTCCTCTATGTAAAGAACTGCCCTTCTGCCAACCAGTGGAATGCAAAATGCAAATTTGAATATAATATCATATGCACATACCCAAAAAACAGATTCCGTTATTACTGGAGCTGCTCTAAAAGGGCTCTCAACGCTAAATGCTGTGACGTTGTATGCCCTTAAAACGTGTATCTGATTAGCAATATTATCATCTGTTTTCGGTAATACCTTTAAAAAAAGGCTTTACTGCTTCTCGCCTGAGAATGAAGAACAGTTCATTTTCTATAGTGATACGCCACTTGCACATCTCCCATAGTGCACCTTATCTGCCCCCCAAAATGTTGCAGAAGCATTGTTTTCAATTTCTCTTGGGATGGCTGTAATACCCAGGGGAAATGAAATACAAAGGTTGTGCAACATTTTTTTTTTTTGGGGGGCGCAAATAAGGTGCATTATGGGAGATGTGAAAGTAGGGTATTCAAGATAAGTGCAGTGTAACAGTGACGTAAATTGATTTTGTAATGTGTACATTATTCTGTAATAAGATACAATACGCTATTGCTTTTTTACATGAATG